AGAAATTGGACATGCAAACTTCCAACTATTAAGAAGAGATATTTTTATATTTCTATATTTGTTGTATTCCTCTTAATTTAATAATTTCATAATCAATTTACTCAAGTAATCATTTAAATTTCAAAAATAACTGTAGACTGAAAATATATTTCTTTCTAATAAAATCAAATAAAAATTTTAATTATGCAATGTAACATTGATTTGTGAAATGTGAGTAGAACAATGATCTCTAAGAATTAATTATTAATATAGATTTCGGTATTAGTTAAAACTGTTAGACAAATTTTTTTGGACAATCTTATATTTAAGTGCATGCGTGCGTGCGTGCGTGTGTGCGTGCGTGCGTGCGTGCGTGCGTGCGTGCGTGCGTGCGTGCGTGCGTGCGTGCGTGCGTACGTGCGTATATACATACGTTAAATTAATACATATCGACACTATCTCTTTTTAAGTAAATATGACATTCCTTTTTAACAGTTTCTTAACATTTGAATATTTGACATTTTCTTTACAACGAGATGTTAAACAATTTTTTCTTTTATATATTAACTTTAAACGAAAGATAATTAATGTAGCATCGATGACAAACAACAAAAAAGCCTCTTTAAATTATCGCTTCGTTAAACATTTGATGATCATTACTGGAATTCTATTTTTATTTTATTAAACATACTGCCATCTTTATAATCTTGTATTTATGAAAATATATGTAACCGATAAATTATCGATAATATTTTATTATATATTTTATTTTAACATCAGAATTTATATAGAAGTTTTATTCATATCTAAATCACTACATATTATGATTACGAAACACAATCTTGTTATGTAATATATTGATACGGTTGCGGTATAAAATATCTCAAATTCATTGTTTCTTATTACTATTAGATTTATATATAGATTCGAATGAATTATATAACCAAATTGTTTCAATAGTTCAAAATAGGAATATTCGAGTTTTGAAATTATAATCAAACATTTTAAATGAGAACAATAGTCGAACTATTTGATCGATTTGCAATGATTAAAAACAACTCATTCACACATTCGACATTCAAGTAATATCCGAGATAGAATCCGAGATATTAGTGTTGAGGAATTCATATATCAACTGCACGATTTTTTCTGTCAGATATTACATTGCTATTTTATTTAAGTTTTTATTTAAGTTCCGAATCGAGTTATTTAGATATCTTCAGATACATGAATCACATATACATGAATAATCTGAATCATTAAAGTTCGAAGCTCGATTCGAACTATTTGAATTGTTCAAATGTTTAAAAATTTTAAGTATAATATAAAATAATACGAACAAATGAAGAACATTACTAAAGAACATTACTAAAACTAAATTTTAATGAATAATGCTAACTAAATATACAAATTGGACTATAATTGGGCTAACTAAATATACAAATTGGGCTATATTTTATTAATATTTGCGTAACCATATTACATAGTAGTAATATCGCACACATTCGAAATCGTTCCATTATGTGAACGATAGATAAGTGTTAAAGAAATATACTATATCTACATCATGTTACATGTTTGTAATTTTTAATTTGCAAGAAGATTTATTACTACATTATTCTAATCGCGACAGTTAAATCGCGTTAATGCTATGAATTTTATTTATCATTTAAGTGTTTATGTGTTATACAGAGCAGGAGCAAGCGTGGCATAGTAAACAGTGCATTGATCTAATACGCTATAGAGATCTCTATAGCGAGTTTGAGTCCCGGTAGGATCAAAATATTTTCATACGCTCGTCTCTCCTCTCGACGGTCTGGCAAACCACGGGAGTATTCTTGTCACAAAACCTCAAAAATTTGCCGTTCGGCGTTAAAAAGTAGATCCCATATGCCTATGCATCATCTACATGCGTACACATGAGAGTGAAGTAGAACAGGCTCTGACTGAATATACTCTATATGAAAGTAGAAGAAATGTGTACAGAGCAAACATATATGCATTTTGGAAAAGAAAGTTAAATAAACTCGATTCTATGACTTCATTAATCATAAGTAAATTTGTGTTTTGTGAATAGAATTTGCAAGTTTGATACCGTTACCGTAAGAATCAAGAATAAAATCGTTTTTAAGCGCAATCTAATAGCAAAATCGATAAACTTTTTGCTGAATTTGTATTACTAAACTGTTATAAATTTCATATGTTATATCGAAAAATTATATTTTTTAATATTCTATTTAGTATAATATTACACGTCCTGCATCAAGCTTTTGTGATTGATATTTAGGAAATATTTTATAAAATGTCTTCTCGACATATTTCGTCATTTTACTTTCACCTCTCTGGCAAAAAAATTTGCCAGAATTTACCCAAAAACTTACCGGAATTTATCTAAAATTTTGTCCGAATGAGTCCGAAAAATTGTCAGAATTATATTGACATTTGGAACACTTTGTAAGCATTTACCAGAAAATAATTTCGGGAAAATTCGGAAATATATACTTTTCGGCCAATTTCTGTCATTTTCGAGGATATATTTTACGAATTTGCGGACAACTTTGGTCATTTTGTTTAAAGTATTTTTTAAAGTGTTTTTTAATATATTCAAATATTTTCCATGAAATATTTTAGGTTTTTTTCTGTTACTTTGGTATTTGAATTTTTTTACATATTCTCTTCAGACAATTCGTTTTTCACAAAATAATCTACATTTATAATCGCGATATTTATTTAATATAAATTTGAGCTGTTTTAAAAATAATGATGAAACAAATTGAAAAGAGTACATTATTTTCTATAAAAGTCAAACCGAAGTAACTGGAAATGCGCAAAAATACACACATTTATTTATTTCTAAAATTGCTTTAAATGAAAATATATCTGTTATAAAATATTTTCATTTAAAGTTATTTTAGAAATAAATTTTATACATTTTATATGATTTAACTTTTCCTTATTTTAATTATATTTTTAATAATTTTGTACGTAGAATGTATTTTCTCGATAAACTGGTAAAGTTTTAATAGAAGTTTGCAGACAAACTATTTTGCTACCTTAGCTCCTAGTATTTTCGATTTTAATATTTTAACCAGTGCTATAAACAAAAGGGGAAATTTGTGATATCTTTAGGATTTAAGCAGAAGCAAACTATATCGTTATGATTGAACTTAATATCTTAGCTCCTACTACAATGTAAAATTAAAGGTTTAATAAAGAGTCAAAATTTCGATTCGGAGTGACAATATAATAGTTGTATAATAGTTGTATCTGT